CACAGCCCCCGCATCAATTCGAATATCAATCAACAACGCCCACATCGAATGCGACAAAAACGGCAGTTTGATCTCTTGATGCGATCATAATCGGTGTGATTGAATGGTCCAATTACGCTTAGCGTCTGACATAATTAGCGTGTAATGATAATTATAATGGACAGGGTTACATGGATAGGCGAGAAGACCCTGCAAATGGGATGGGACGGCTTTGACAAAACGCCTCTTGCGACTTACATCACCATATCACAACATCACAATATCTTTCCATCATCCCATCATGCCACCATGGCCACTTGGGTGTGACTAAGAAGCTATGGAGTGCAGGTAACCCGAGAAGCCGCATAGAATTTCGCACACATGCCTGTGCTCCGTGCCAGTTTTGGGTTTCTTTTCCACCTCAATGCGGACGAAACGCCATGCGAATAGATTATAAACATAAAAAATGAAATGACAAATGACAAAGCGGTCACAAAAACGAAAGTTGCTCTGCATGGGCAATTGTTTGGAATAGAAACATTTAAATAAATTGATAAGCAGTCGGAAGCATTTGCATCGGGCGAACAAGTTCGTTGCCTAAGTCTTAAGTTTTGATGTCGTATCTCTGTTGTTGTTTCTTCTATCGCTGGTATTGCTTAACGAAACGCTAACAATGACAATTAAATAAATACCAATAATAACAGTAAACTGCTGCAGCAACAACACAACTATAATGAACTTGAATTGGCATAATTGCCACCGCTAATCACATTAAAGCCAGATACAAAGATTTGATAAATGCAAAGAAACAACAGCCAAGCAGCAAACAACACGACAAACAGCAACTGGTTATTCAGCCTGGCAGTGAAACAATCATAGGAATTAAAATAAAATGCAAATGATTGCGTCACTTTGGTTCACTGCAGAGCAGCGATATGAGGAGAAATATCAATGTAAAATGTGACAATGAAGCTAATGTGAATAACTAACAAGTCGAACAGACGAAAGGTTCCCTTTTTTAGATTACTGAAATAAAAATAGATATTTGAATTACCCAAGTATAGGTATTTTAATCATTTGAAATTACGAATAATAGAAGGATTGTCGCTGTACTTTCATGCGAATTATTAGAACTACACAAATGTAAGTACTTGTCAGATACGTTAGACTGTTTTCGAAAATTGTGAGAATTGCTTGGGCAAATTTGAGATAAATCAAGTACATACTTGCTTTTCTGTGCCAATTTCAAAGTCGCTAATTGAATGGAACAATGAATTGCTTTTAGAAATCGCCCATTTCGCTGGCAATAAATTAGAAGCACAAACACCAAAAATAATTTATGAGCTAGTCACAATAATTGGAAGCCACATACGAAACCCGTGTAGTTAAAAGGGATGGAGGGAGGGTGCAACCAGCGTCCATGACAGGTGGTGTCGCCTCACCTCACCCCACCCCCCGCCTTTGAGCCACCCACCCCGCCCATTTGCGTTTGTATTGGCCCATGTGTGTGTTTATGCCGTGACGCAGGCGCAGCTTGGAATTCAAACGTCAGCCTGCAATCTTTCACTTTTTTTCGTGTCTGCAGCGGCGGCGTCGGTTGTTCCAGTTTTTCCGTAGATTGTTTCCCCAGCATCGCTATTATTTTTGTTATTTTCGCCTAGATTATACACACGCGATGCATGGAGTGCTTATTCTGGGCCCTTTTTGACACACTTCTTTGCCGTTTATGTGTATTTCTATTACTTTTACGCATATATGCTAAACAACTTTCTTCTGCTGGTTGCAAAGGGGCGCGCTTTGTGCAAAAGTATTTATCATAAATTTTACACACACGCAGGCGCACACCAACACACACACAGAGCGATAGCCCCAACGAGATCCAAGCGCACACATTGCATACACACACAAAAACACACGCATACACAGACGTACAAAAAGGGGAGAGCAGATTGTTCAGTTCGCAAGGTCCGGGAATCCGGAATTCCAATTCTGCGCTTTATCACATTTTCGGCATTTCTTGTTGAGCCTCCAAAAGTCTCTTCTTCAAACAGCAGGTTTCGAATATTGGGCATGTAACGAAATTCATTACCAAACACACACACACATGCACGACGACACACACGTTCGCGTTCACTCACACTAGCACAGGTTTCGAGCCGCTTTTCTGTTTTTCCGTTCCTTTTCCGTTCGGTTCGAGCGCGATCACGATCGATTTGAGACTAGTCGCTTTGCTATTCGCGGAATGGAATCCGCTCTGAGCCGAGCTTTACTGGGGAAAGCTTTTGCATAGCTCAAAAAAGCTCGCATCGCAAAGACAACTGCGCATGCCCACCACTGCTATCGATAGCTGACTAGGGCTCAGCTTTTGTATGACCGTAATCCAGCTAGTTCTATCGTAGAAAATATTTTACATAGAACACCGTTGGAAAATCAATCATTTTGAGCTGAAATAGTTTTGTATAATGTACACTTTCTAGCTACAGCTATCGTTTCAGCCTAGCTTTTTATGTTTTTCCAATTTTTAAAAAAACTATCTGCAGCGATATATCGATAGTTTGTATATCGTGGTATTTCCACCATCTTCACCTGCGGTCTTACTGGCTGCAACAACTATCGAAAAACGATAAGCCCCGATAGGTTGAAATTAATAACAAAAGAGGGCAAAAGGGAAAACGCAAAAAGTTATGGGGAACCAATTGGCAATACAAATGAATAGCGATGAAGACGACGAGCTTGACTCTTCGGACAACGAGCTGGACTTTAATGTGATCAACTTTACAGTGAACGCCATGGACATGGAACTGCGCACCGATTATTGCAGCAACGACATGCCAGTAATAAGAAGCAAGCCCGATATAGTTAAATTTCAGGTAACCATGAAATACCCCAGACAGCCAGATAACAATTGAAAGTAATTGGTGGCTCACGCAACTTTCCAGAAAACTGATATGTACAAGGAGATCCGGGCATCGAGTGGTTTAGTGAGCAATCCGGATAATCGCTGGAACCTGGTGCACGCCCTTCAGCAGCGTGAAAATGGGATGGCATCGCCACACAGCGCCTCGTTCTCCAACAACCAGCAGCGCTACATTTCCAATCTATACATACCAAACAAGAAGGCCACGCGCCTGATGTCGCTGGAATCAAAAATCTATGTGACTAAGTTCAATCGCACGGGCAGCAAGTTGCTGACCGCTTGTCAAGGTCAGCATTCATGGTTAACGTTTTGGGTAGCATCAAACACGATTTTAACAACTTCCAGATGGCTTTGTGCGCATCTACGATGGCGCCAAGGGCACATACCACCTGCTGAATCGCATCCGAGCCCGCGATGTCGAGTGGAGCATCATGGATGCGGATTTTAGTCCGAATGGCGAGCACTTTGCCTACAGCACCTGGTCCCGCTCATGTAGGTAGTCCGCCAGATCTGCTTATCCACACTAAGTTGTTTTCCCCTTCAGTTTTCATCATGCCCGTTAATGGGGGGGAAGACGACTGCCAGTGGATCGATGTCAATGGACTGCCAAACCATCGGTTGGCTATCTTCTCGCTGCGCTATTCACCAACGGGCGACAAAATCATAGGGGGCAGCAATAATGCCACGGTCATCGTGACCGACATTCGCACAAGAACCACGCAGATCCTGCGTACCCACCGCATGCCCGGCAACGATGTTAATTCGGTGTGCTTCCTACACGATAAGGATCCAAATGTGATAATCGCCGGTTGCGACGACGGCCTCCTAAAGGTCTACGACCTGCGCACCTCCTTCCGTTCACGGGACCTGTCCAAGTCTGTAGCCTCTTTCATCGGTCACTACGATGGCATCACCTACATCGATTCGCGAAACGACGGCTTCCATGTGCTGTCCAACTCCAAAGACCAAAGCATCAAGATCTGGGACATGAGGCAGCCCAGTAATCTGCGAAATCGCAACCGCGCCAGGCAGCAGCATCTCGATCTCACCATGTGGGATTACCGATGGAACCGCGTTCCGCGGGAGTGTAAGCTCTGGTCCTTTTGTTCTCGGTGAATTCTTAATGCTCACGTATCTTGCTTGCAGTTTACAATCCCCATAAGGCACTAGATGGGGACACCAGCATAATGACCTATCGCGGTCATCGAGTTACCAAAACACTGTTGCGGGCGAAGTTTTCGCCCATGGAGCAGACAGGCCAACGTTACATTTACACAGGCTGTGCCACAGGACGTATTATAAGTGAGTTGATACCTTTGACATGCAGTGTTTCTCTGATTTTCTTTTACAAGGCTAAAACACATTTTCTAGCCAGTAAAATCGTTAAGTATTTTTAGAAGTTCTCTATCTATGAAAAATTTGGTTGTGAAACCAAATGCCATTTTAGCATTTCCGACTTCAACGATAAATAAACATAAACCATATAATTCCATATTCTTCCAGTTTACGATGTACTTACTGGTAAGATTAAAGAGGCTATTGAAGGTCATAGGACTGTGATAAGAGATCTGGACTGGCATCCAGAACGCTCAGAAATCGTGTCTGGTTCGGTAAGCTGCTAGTGAAGAATTTTTCCTTTGAATGCCCAATAATGCATAACGAATTCCCTGCGCAGTGGGATTCCCATGTTCACCTGAACAACTTCAGTCGGAGCAACGCCAATCGACCGGTAAAGCGATCCCATAGCTCGGATCAGGACAAGAGGCCATTGAGACGATCACGCCGCTTGGCGAATCGCAATGTAACACCAGACTAGTTGTAATTGCATTACATTATAAGCTAGTAAGATCCCCTTGATATTACATTTCGTTACATTCATTCATAGTGGCTTGCGTAAGCGACGGAAAAGAATATTCACCACAGTCGGGCCGGATATTGGTTCTATTAATAAGACTGAAGAATATGTCACTCACTTGAAATGTATAGTTCAGTTTAATTAGTAAAAGTGTTATACATTACTTTAAAATGTAAACCATGAAGCTTACCAACTACCTACTTAAGTTGTTTATGTACAAAACAATCATAATAAGAATCACGTTGAAATATATTTCGTTTGCTACAACTAAATTCCTTGAAATGCCGTTCTCTTCTTTACCGCTCGAATGCTAGTTTTTTGCACTCTTACCGGATATTTTATATGCTTTTCACTTTTAAAATTCTCAACGGCTTTATTTTTCCAAAGGTTACGGATGCGCTTTTCATCGCTAAGACAATTCACCACATTCAGCTCGACGTTTTCGCTCATTCCGTAGCCCGCGATCTCGCCAAGCGTCGAGTTGTTAAATGCGCTCATGTCAAATAAGTAGAATTGGTCTGCACAGAATTTAGAGATATTAAAATAATTAAATGATTTTAGTTTTTCGTGGATCTCTTCCAGGGATAAGAGGTTTTTAGGCAGGACTTCATCGGCTGACTCAACGCTTTTATCGCCGGACATATTATTCTCAGCACTTACGTCGTCCCCATCTTCTCCTCCAGAGTCCTTGGAATTTCCGACAGCCGCCTGCACGGCGAGCGCAAGTGAGCTAATCTCCAGCTTAGCCAAGGGCTCCTTGGAGGCATTTGATTTTCTTTTATTTTTGGTTTTTTTTTCAGTGGCTTCTTCAGTGGTTGGAGGTGTTTCTACTGAATCTTTCTCATCGGTATCCTTGCTTCTCTTCTCCTCGTTGGACTTTTTTTTCTTTTTAGTAGGAGCTTCGTCTGTCAAATCTATAGTAATTTCTTCCCGCCTTTGGCTGGCTTCTTCAGTGCTATTAGATTTAATTTTCTTTTTGCTAGCATTTTCATTCGCAGCTTCCGATTCATTATTCCCGCGTAAGACATCATCAATTATAATTACTTCTTCGGTTTTCTTCGACTTTTTCTTTTTTTTCGCAGCTGGTTCTTCTAACAAATCTTCTGAAATTTCTTTGTTTTTATCTTTCTTCCTTTTCTTTTTTTTGTCACTTTCTTCGGCTTGTTCATTAATTTGTATTTCTTCTGCTGCTTCCTCCTTTTTTTTAGACTTCTTCCTTTTTGAGGAAGTGTGTTCACTTTGTTCAGTGATTTCCTCCAACTCAACACAGATATTGTCAGATTTCTCAGTTTCATCTAGGGACTCTTTCTTTGATTTCTTCTTTTTCTTAATTTCTGGAGCGCCCTGCTCCATTTTTTCCTCTGCAATTGGTGATTCATCAGTCCCTTCTTCGCTCTTAACTAATTTCTCCTCAGCGAAGTTGTTCCTCGATTGCTCCGTTTCATCCTGAGATGATTGCTTTGATTTCTTCTTTTTCTTAAGTTTGGGAGCATCCTGCTCTATTTCTTCTACCGCAGTTGGTGGCTCGTCAGTTTTTTCAACGCTTTCAGTTTCGTCCGGAGACGAGTGCTTTGATTTCTTCTTTTTCTTAGGCTTGGGAGCAACTTGCTCTAGTTCTTCCACTGCAGTTGGTGACTCTTCTGTTCTTTCCTTGTCCTTCTTTTTTTTCTTTTTCTTGGTATGCAATTCATCGTTCTCTGCTGAAGTCTGTTCGAGCTTCTCATCATGTCCATTGGTCTGTGGCTCATTACTGTCTTCAACTTGAGAGCTAGCCCCTTTCTTTAGTCTATTTTTCATGGCCTCCATTTTCTGCTTAAAATAATCAGTAGTCGACAGGCCAGTGATAATTGTTTGCACGCCAGCGAAGTTGGGATTTTCCTCTTTTTGTTCCTCGGGTTGCACAACAAGTACGGGTTCTGGATATCTCTCGACATCCTCCGTTGGCTTTTTGCCGAATATATTGGCTAGATCCTTTTCGCTGTACTGGGCCAGGTCTTTGCCTCGAGTGAACTTCTTGTAGTGTACTCGAGCCCTGCTCTGTTTTGAGCGTTCCTCCAGCGACATTCCACTGGTGTTCTCCTTGAGTTTCTTCTTTGAGGGCTCCTCCGGTTCTACGGCTTTAAAGCCAAAACCCATTGGCCTGGCTTCCTCTTCGGATTCCGGCTCTTTATCATTAGCACCGCTATCATCGCCATTTAGCGCCTTTAGCAGTCCATTGAATCCATCCTCGTGAACAGTCCACTGGTCATCTCGCTGCTCGAAACCCAATCCTTCTGCGTCGTTCTTGAAGCGAATGCGCACAAAATCCTTTTCGCCGCTCAGATTGGCGCCCAAGCCACTGCCCTTCGTCCAGCCCATCTTCTCCAGCATTTTGGTACCGAAACGATTTTCATCTGGAAATTTCAAGAATTTTGAAATCACCATCCACATTTGAATTTGATATGCATACCTTCATAGAGAGCCTTGCCACGCGGACACAAATTGTACCTTTTGCGCCGTCGTGGTTCAGCCAGCATAGCCATTTTTATTTAAAATTGCTTTTATTCCACGTTGTTTTAAATATAATTTTGTAAAATTAACAAAGATACAATTCGTAAAATGCGACTGCCAACACGTGCTATCAAATATCGATAACAAATCCAAGCAAGATATATCGATAGCGATTGTCCAAACAGCTGCTCGGCAGGGCTAGGGATGAGAGTACGCTATACGCAAGTAACAGGTGATTAACTATCGCTCATCGCTATCGGGTGTCATTTATAAATTTATTATTGTTGCTCTTGTTTAATTGTTATTATTTGCTAATCCTCGAGTTTTCAGTGTACTGATAATGGATATAAGCGCGGATGTGGATCAGATAATAGCCCAGGCTCCGGACTGGACCTTTGCGGGCGACTGTGCTCTCCTGGCGCTGATGAAGCGCATTTCCCAGGTCAGTTTTACATGCATACATAGATAACAATCCAATTTGATAAAATTCTTGCAACAGAATCTGGAAGAAAGGGGCGAAAAGACCAGCCGCAATCTGAAGGACTTTGAGACGAGTGTGAAGCAAGTGGATATCTCGCTGAACAATGCCACCAACAGCCTGCGATCCCTGCAATTTGGAAATCAGTTCGTGGAGTATCGGGTGGAGGAGGTGGATGACGCTGATTTGGCCATGCCGGAAGAGAAGAAAAAGAAGGTGCAATAGGCGATGGAATTTACCACACTGCTGTGTGCTGTGTTTTTACAGATATTAATATGCTTGCAGCCAGAGCTGCCGCCTAAGAGTTCCGAGGAAATGGCCAAGGAGTTTCTGGAAAACAACCTGCGCATGTTTCGCAAAAACTACGAGCCGGTGACCATAGAAGTGCCCGATTCAGATGATGAGGATGGCCCCGTTCACTCAACGTAAGTAACTCACTTCACTTGTGCTCCATACTAAAACCACTTTTCACAGAACCGTTTTCCGGGCTAAGAATCCCTATGATGCGATACCCCTGCCCTATATTATCGGCACAAAAGAGTGGCAGGAACACAAATATGCCGGACTATATGACAGTAAAGAGAATAGTGAAGATGACAGATCCGAGGAATTCTCGTCTAGCTCATCGGACGAGAGAGAAACCGAGTCCAAAAAAATAGCAATGCCATCGAACAAATTAGAGGAACATCATCTATCGGACTCCTCTTCCCTAGCCTCGTTTGCCAGGGAGCCAGCAATTGTGTCGCCAGTCATTAAGCCTGCTGTTCAGGTAGCAGAGCCTGCCATCAGAACGCAACCCCGTCCTATTATAAATAGTCAAAGGAACACCCATGAAAGGGACATGTTTGCTGCACTCCGGCAATCGCCGCCTAGCGATGATCCACCATCCACATCATCTTCGCCTACATCTTCACCAGCCTTTAGGAATCCATCGAGTCGCCTTCCAATCGCGTCTACTGCATCGCTTAGTTCCAGTAGCAGTAGTCCTGCCCAACAGCCTCCAAGGCTTTTCGACGAAGCTGTATCAAACCAAGCTCCAAAGGAAACTGAGCTCAAGCCAAGCCAAACTAAGCGCATGCCAGTTAATCTTTTTAATGACGACGAGTTTAAATCATTCATGTCCGAAATCGTAGACAAAGTCCAGTCAAAAACAACTAGCAGCTCCGGATCCCCAGCAACGACAATTTCAACGAAAGAGCCACCCAAAACTATAAAACCAATTGAACAATATCCAAAACCAGCGGCTCCAAAGCAGATTGTTGAGCAATCAGTTTCGAAACGTGTTAACCTTTTCGACGACAGTCCCCCATTGAGTCCAACTCCAAGGTCAGAGCCTGTCCCTAATAAAACTGGAGCAACTGGTGCCATCCCAAAACAGAGTTCAGTCGATGAAGATAACTCGCTTTTTGGCAGTTCTTCGCCCATGCCGAAAGAAAATCCATCTAAGAAGCCAACGAAACCGGTTACTAAATCTCTATTTGATGATGACTTGGAGGACGACGACTTCTTAAGCTCCTTTACACCCAAAGCAAAGCCACCAGAACAAAAACTGCTCTCTAAACCAAAGCCCTCTTTATTTGATGATGATGATTTGGATATCGATGATATATTTACGAAACCATCTGCTCAGCCGAAAATGCTCTCTGAAAAAGTAGCTGGAAAGACCAGTTTGTTTGAAGACGATGATCAAGACGATGTCACTGATTTGTTTGCCTCAAAAAAGACAAAGGAAATTCAGAAGGAGACGTCTTCAGGAGTTTCACCCGCCAAAAAGCTCGAAACACCTGTAGCTTCAAAGAAAAGTCTGTTTGATGATATGGAAGATGAGGATTTGTTTGGAACCCCAAAGGCTAAGAATTTAATTAGAAGTGAACAATATAACGATCCTGAGCGAATTGAACGTAGCGGAGCTTCAATAGGAAAAGATAAGACACAAAATGAGATTGTACAACAGAAATCCAAGAATGTGGAAACTAAAGAAAAGCAGCTTCCACTAATAGCAGAAGATGCATCTGTGCCTATTCTAAGAGATTCACCTCCTCCCATGGAAGTTAAAGAACAAAAGGCTGCTGGAAAAGAATGGAGGCCGGTTGAAGATGCTACATCAGCTCCAAATAGTCATATAATTAAAGATTTGTTTAGTGAAGATTTAACCGACGATGAGTCATTCCCTAGTCCTTCAAATAATATGGCTGAGCCCAAAAGTGCTAGTGAATCTAAAGAATTTAACAAGCCAATTGAAGAAAATACGTCGGAATATAAGGAATATGTATCCCCAGTGAATCCTCCTACAATATTATCTACCAAACAAATCGATTTGTTTAACGAAGATTTTAGCGATGATGATACATTTCTGAGTGCATCCATGTCTAAGAATAAGCCAGTAGGTGCTACAGAAACCGATGAAATTAAAAAGCCATCTGCGGACCAGTTGGTGAATGAGATTAAGCCAGAAGAATTAGCACAGCAACTGCCAGAGAACAAAATAGATGATACAACAGTCGTCGATGAAAATGATGAACTTATGCCTGAAGTGCTAGGCAAGTCTGAATTAGATGAGCCAGTTTCCGAAAGTCCTCCACCAGACGATCATCAAAGCAACGAAGATCCCATTATATCGATGGTGGCCGACGTCACTAACAAAACATCAGCTGATACAACATTTACCCCGAGAAAGCCAGCGGATTTGGCTGCCGCGCAGCAAATCATGCAGACTTATTCGAACCTCTTTTCCGACGAGCCGCCGGATGACAGCGAATTCTTCCAAACGCTCGGCAGCAGCGGCCTCAGCAGCTTAAGTGCCTCAAAAATCTTTGACAGCGAGCACGACTTCTTCGAACCCGCTCTTCCAAGCATTCCCAGTGCGACAAAGCCATCTCCAGTGACGCCTGGAGATCAACCATCTTCGTCATCCGACTACGGTGCCATGTGCTTATTTAGTGATGTGCCACCCGAAGATAACGATCATGGTGAAGAAGCGCAGAATCAAGCTGAACCTCAGAAAGACGAATTCGCGTCCACCACCCGAATACACACAATCTTCTACGATGATTTTAGTGAGACTGCAAGGGCAGGAGCAGTGCAGCCAGCACCCAAACGGTTCACTTTTGATGATGAGCCACCGCAAGCGGATGAACCTGATCGTAGTCAAGTTGAGGAGAGTCCTGAGTTGCGAAATCCCACTTCTCCCGTTAAAAAGCTTAAAATGCCTAACATTAACATCAATGTTCATGCCTTACTTCCCGGATCTGGAGGCGCGTCAAAGCTGCTCAGGAAAACAGAATCATCGAGTTCCGAAAGAGACGAACCTCAAGTCCCATTACAGATTGAGGTGTCGGCACCAAGTTCTGCACAAACCACTGTGCCTTCTCTAGACGGTGCCCTGCAGCATGTGAACAAATCTCGCGCTCGTGGACCTGCTAAAAGGCGACCTTCGACCAGGAAGGGAAGAAAGGAAAACTATGCCAAAAGCTTATTGGATGCTGGACACGATGAAGGCCCAACAGCATCGACCTCGATTCAAAGGAGGACCTCTAAAGATACCCCGGAAGTGGAACACTCTGAGCCCAGTTCCATTAGGGCACCTCTTCCTCAGCCTGTTAAGCCTGAAACGTTGTTTTCAACTCCAGCACAGCAGATTCAGCCACAGCTCCAAAGACCGCCGCCATCTACTGTAGGTGGCTCATTTTTGGACAGCCCTGATGAAGATGATTCCTTCTTTAATTCAGTTCCGACAAAGACGATTGAGGGAAAGCAGGGTTCTGACCCGCCTAAGTCATATCGGTCGTTTTTGGACAGCCCTGATGCAGATGATCATCTTTTTAATGATTTTGAAAATAACATTGCTGAAGAGCGGCCGGCGGCATCACAAACAGTTTCTAATGAGCCACAAGTAGATAGGCGGAAGTTGGAGAAGGCCTTGCCGCCGCCAAAGATGGCAAATTCTTTTTTGGACAGTCCAGATGAAGATGATTTCCTATTTAATTCAGTCAAACCAAAGGCAACTCCTATAGCCCAAAAATCACTTGCCCCTGCAGCAGAAATCGTGAATGCTTCTCAAAAAGTCACAACTGCTCCTACAAAACCAACAAATGCCAAGTTGGCTGCAAAAGAACAAATTAAACCCAAGTCACAGGCTGCGCCTAAACTGTTTGATGATAGCGATGATGATGATGATCTGTTTGCCAATGCTGCTGCGTTACCTCCTAGTATCCAACCCGCCAGCAAGCCAACCCAAACTAAACAACAACCCAAACCAGCGGCGACTTCCCTTTTCAGCAGCGATGATGATGAAGCCGAAGTGCCCGCGAAGAAGTTGCCTGTTAAGAAGTTGCCAGTAAAACCAAGCAAAAGCCTCTTTAGCGACGACGACGACGATGATGACCTGTTCGGAGGAAGCTCCACGTCCAAAGAAGGTGCTACCAAAAAGTCCAAACCCGTGACCAGGACAGCAACTAAACCAGCAGCCAGTAAAACCGCCACGTCTACTGCTACCATTCCCTCAAACTCCGGTGATAATCCATTGGCCGATCTGCTTGATTTCAAGTAAAAACAGTTACGCCTTTTATTACAAGTATGTACAGTTTTTGATCTGTGGATGGTTAGACTGTCGATCAGAGTATTGTTATCCGTATTCCTATTAACTATGTATAATAAACAATGAATGTCAATGTCCATTTGTGGTCGATTCTTAGAACTAGACT